AGGTACGCAGCCTATTCATCTTAAGTGATACAGTATTGTAGCCTATTCATCTTAAGTGATGCAGTATTCCAACTTGAAAGTTAAGATTATAACTCCATCAAAAGTGCCTATAAAGGCATTCTATTTTACTTGTGACTTTCATTCATCACAAGTATGAATGGGTCAAACAAGTTAAAATATTTGATCTTTGAAGCATTTCAAGGTGCATTTATCAAGTATTTATGGAACACTTTCTTTGTTCAAGAGCTGAAAAACAATACTCAAAAGATTTAAATACAACCATGTTCTCTTGGAGCTTTGAGAATCTGGTCTATGGGTAAAGCTGAATGACCAAAGAGAATGGCATGAAAGAATGGAATCCCTTCTGGTAAAAGAAGAGATCAGAAAGGGTAAGATTAGGAGAAGGCCAACAAGACTTTGGAAGTCACACTGAGGTTCTGAGTTAATCTTTTTTCTGAAGGACAATAGGAAGTTGAAGGGTTTACAGCAGTGGAAATAACTGTTAGATATGCATAACAAATATTTCCAAACTTGGAGATTTGGACACTATATTTTATGTTTTACATTTTTGGTGAAAAATCTGAGCATAGCACATAGCTGATTCCCTAGCCTTGGGCCTCTGACAACCCTGCATGCATTTGGACTGATGGAGCATTCTCTTCTAGGTCATTCGCGTGATTACACATAAGAGTCAGATCCTCACAAGGTGTTAGATAAATTGAGGTTCTTCCAGAGCCATTAGGTGATGGTTTATCTTGATTGATTGTCAACCCGATGAGTCTTAGAATCACTTAGAAAACAAACTTTTGGTTGCATCTGTGAGGGCAATTTTAGAATTTTAGAGAGCATTAACAAAAGTGGGAAGATCCACCCTGAATGGGGGTGTTACTCACCATGGGCCAGGAACTAAGACTAAACAAAAAGACAGAAGGAGAGTAGGACAACATCCTTCATTTTTCCACACCCGATTGACAGAAACACATTTCCCCCCATTATTACTGCTTTCCAAAATAGCAAGACCCTTTACATGACCAACAAATGTGGTACAGTTTAAGATTGAATCTGTTTGATATATAAAGAAACATGCTAACATGGCATGTTTTCAGCCTGTTTCTTTATTCAAGTGGTCTCAGAGCCAAAGTGTTGTTTCTCCTGTTTTCTTTCCAACCCTGTGTTCCTACTCCATGTCTCCAGACTCATCTCCTCCTATCTGAGGGTCTTCCTTCATTTATTAATTTGGCTTCTATTATTGTACAGTGGAATTAGAAGTTTCTACATTCTTTTAGGTGAATTAATGTATGTACAAAGAAATTGTTTCATCTATATCCCTACCTGTTTCCTATGAGACAATGCTGAAAGATAAATAGACTTTAAAAGCCACAGAAGAGCATGCCTTGAAGAGGCCTTGAAAAGAGTTTCACTTTTTAGTTTTAATAGAATCCTGCCAGTATACTTGGGTGGAAGAATATTTCTTCAGAAACCTTCAAACACACTTCCTGTAATCTCCCCCAACTAGTGTCTTTACTGAAATGCTTATTTTACAGTTTGCTAAAAGAATATTAGCTCTTGGCTTTCAGCTTAGAAAGACTGGCTTTTACCTATGTTTTTTTTTAATTCAAATGTTATAGGCTTGCCAAAGAAAGGAATGTGATGTCAGAGCATTTAATCAACAATAGACTAAACAAGAGTGATGATGGAGAGGCATTAATTTTAATTTTACACAGGTGTAGAGAAGGCACAGTCAGGGAAAGCAACCAGAAAGAGAGTTAGGGACAACAACACACAGACAGTGAAGTGCTGAAGGTGACCTCTCAACTCAGGGAGGTGGGGTCTATGAGCTTGGTTTCATTGTGCTCAGATTATATGGGAGCCTTGGAGTCAGGAAGAAGGTGAGCACTGAGCTCTACTCAGGGAACAGGAAGTCTCAGATGAAGACTTACCACTGAAGAGCCAGAAGCCAGCCAGGCCTGTGCTGGGCTCCAAATGATCTCTTGACTTCCTGTGTTATAAGTTAAGCTGCTTGTTAATAAGAAACTCATAGTTACTGGGCATTTAAGTCTTGCTTAATAAATATTGCTGTGAACATAAGAGAAAATTTGTAGAAAGGAAATTAAAGCAAATGTTTGGCTACTCTAACCCATTTGAGTAAAGGTTTTCTGATTGCAATATGGAACTGAAAACCAACACCCATGCTCAGTGTATGAATCATCCAGAGACCATAATTCCCATGTGTGATGAAACTCCAGCCTCCTCTTGTATAATGTTCTGAATTTCTTAGATCCAAAGAGAAAAACATTAGTCAAAAGACAAAAAGGAAGTAGGAGTCTAACTTTCTCCTCACTCTTTCAGCCATATTGTTGGGGAAAGAGAGAAAAGGGAGCCATAATGAAAGGGCACCAGGGACCCATGGAGACTTAGCTGCTCTGTTCAGTCAGGGAGGGCACAGAATGCTTCACAGAGGCCACCAGGGCCTGGAGTCAACAGGCACAGTAGTAACACACATCCTAGCAAGTATGTCAACCAATTTTTGCTGTGGGATGGTCTGTATGTCAAGTGTGTTGCTGATTGGTCAACAAATAAATCACTGATTGGCCAGTGGCCAGGCAGGAAGTATAGGCGGGACAAGGAGGAGAATAAAGCTGGGAAGTGGAAGGCTGAGTCAGAGACACTGCCAGCCACCATGATGACAAACAGCATGTGAAGATGTCGGTAAGCCACGATCCACATGGCAAGGTATAGATTTATGGAAATGGATTAATTTAAGATATAAGAACAGTTAGCAAGAAGCCTGCCATGACCATACAGTTTGTAACCAATATAAGTCTCTGTGTTTACTTGGTCGGGTCTGAGCAGCTGTGGGACTGGCAGGTAAGAGAGATTTGACCTGACTGTGAGCCAGGCAGGAAAACTCTAGCTGCAATTTTTAGCCTGGGCTATGGAACACATAACCCCATAGTATTTACAATACTAAGCCTGAGATTATTGCTTTCTTCTGTTTCCACTATAGGAAGGGCCCTCACATTCAAACATACATGTTCTAATTAGATTGGATGTGTTTTGTATTTAAGACCCATAGGTCTCAATGACTTAGGGGATGGGTATTATAATAAAAGAGTAAAAGTAACAACAGTGGCTGAAAGTTAAATCCTAGTGGTTTACACAGATTGATGGGGGTCTAGACATCTAAAGGACAATAACACTCCAAATAGACATTCTCAAAATGACTTTATGTTTTTCAGTCTATTTTCCAAAAACCTACCCTAGATACTGGAGACTTTGCTTGGCTTTTGTTAGCTGAGCTAAACCTAGAAACACATCTTTTTGTGCACTATCATTGTAGTTCCAAAAATGAGTACAGTTTCCCTCTACATTAAACAGATTCTCCTATGTGGTAAAATGTGGGTGTATCCCCAAAGTGCCCCCTGCTCCATATTAAAGTAACAGCAGGAATCTTTGGATGTTTTCTCTGGTAATGCATTTATATTCACTGGATTTGTGACACTTTTTTCAAGGATATACACTATGATTATCTTTCTCTGTGTCAAAAGCACTTTTATTGTATGTGTGTGGTTGTGTGTATGTGCATTGAGTTATGGGTGAATATGTATGTACAGATGCATGTGTATATGTGTGCACCTGCATGTAGGAGACCCCATGTCTCTACTTTCTGAGACCTGGAATGAGAGTTGAGCTTCCATGCCCACCTGGCTGGCATTTATGTGGGTTCTAGGTGTCTGAATTCCCATCCTCGAGTTTACACAGCAATTGCTTTAATTACTCAGCCATCTTGCCAGCCCCATGAAACCCCCAAAGGCTCAGGAATCATTGTGAAAAAGGAGGCAGAATGTAAGAGCAAAACAGTATTTTCAGGATATAACAAGGCCATTGTACACATGAACTCACAGCAGCTGGGTAATACATGTATAAGACGTATATAATAGCAAGTCAATCATAATCCCAGCATAGATGGGAAAGGACTTCATGAAGCCCCACCCTACCTGAGATGCTATTGGCAATTGATGGCTGCTGGGAGAAGGGCAGTAAACTTTGCACAGAGATGAAACCCGCCCCCCAGAAAAAAAGAATTGCACATGCTTCAGTAGATGATCCTGCACCCATTGTACATATAGGCAGCACTAAGATGTATGTCATCGGTCTAGATCATGATGGGAGGATGTGCAGAGATGATGGCCACACTAGTGGAAGCCCATGAACTGTGGAGATTCCCATGGGACTAGACTAGGCCCTCTGGATACGGAAGACGGTTGTTTGCCTCGAACTGTTTGGGGGGCACCCAGGCAGAGGGATCGGGATCTGTCCCTGGTCTATGGACAGGCTTCTGGAACCCGGTACCTGTGGTGTGACACCTTGCACAGCCTTGGTGCAGTGGAAAGGGGCTTGGACCTGCCTAGGCTCAGTGTGCTGGGCTCTGCTGACTCCCCATAGGAGACTTTGATTTGAGGGATGTGGGGATTCAGGGTGGCTTGGGAAACAGGGCTGGGAGGTGGAAGGAGGGAGGAGGGGGGATCTGTGGATAGTATGTGGAGTGAGTAGAAAATTTATTAATAAAGAAAAATGAAAGAATAAAAAAGATATATATCATCATTCCAGGGGTCTAGCTTGGAAAAAAAATAAACCTTCCCTGAGGGCTCAAAGAGACCTCTATGTTTAAGCTTGAAATCAATATCATGATTGGCCCTGATGCTGATGTGATCCTTATAGAAAGCTTGTTATGGTTTTGTACTGGGAATTTGAAAGAAGAGGACAAGGAGGAGGAGCTGCTTTCTGTTTATCTTTTTGCTTCTTTTGGCTGTGTAACTTCTGCTTTGTGTTTCAGATTCAAAGCCTAAAGGTCATTTTCCTCTATGTGTTTGTTATTGGCTGTATTTTGCCTTATCGTTGGTGTTTCCTTAAAATTAATAAGAGCCAAGAGCAGTGATGTATTATTCATCCTGAGTAGCCAAACCATGCATTTATCTAGGGTTTCTTTCTTTTGCAAGAGCTTGCACTCGACAGCGCATGCTGAGTGGATCATTCGAGGGGCAGCCAGCAAAGGAGAGGTCAATCCTTAGTGTGCAGCATCACATCCGCCAGGAGCGCAGGTAAATACTCCAGGAAGATGAACTCCAGAGACATTCAGGAAAGGACTTTACAAGTGTGTCTCAGTACAAAGCCTGGTCCTCTACTCTGATTGTCAGGCAGGCATGGTGACAACCTGGTTCTAGCTGCTGGTGGTAACAATAAAGAAATTCTCTAACTGATTCAAAGATTTAAAAATCTTTACTTCAAAGATTCTTTCCTTGGTAATAGCCAAAGTCTCACTTTTAAGATCAGAAAGAACAAAAATCTGAAAACTTGTTAGATGGGATCAAAGACTGGTGGGTAGACCACAAGCTTATGCTTTACAAAGAAATGAGTCATTTCTGATATATCAGGAAAATTAATCTTTTACTCATGATTATTGACTACAAGTCAAAAGTTGTTCTTGAGATGTTTTGACATGACTGTGGTTGTTCTAGGTCACTAAGACATGGATCCAACAGCCAGAGGATCAGCAGGGGCAAATCTCTTGAAACTTTAACTCAAGACGTGAGTTCTAAGCTATGCCTTGGATTTTGGAAACTTGATTATGAATGTGTATTTAAATGATTGCTTAGACAGTTCTCATGCCTGAGTTTTCCTATCATCTTTAAATGTTTTCCTATCAGAGGGAATCAGGAAATTCAGAAAGCAAATTACATGGCCAAGTACTAAAAATAAACCATTACCTGAAAAAATACAGACATCCCATGCAGAGCACATGCCTCAGTTAAAAAGAATAACACAAAATACAGAAAGCAACTGGCTATGAGTTCCTGGGCCCACCTGATACATCTACAACTCAGCTCCTACAGCTAAGGTGCAGGGAACAGTGCAGAAGGAAAAGCAGAGAGATTGTGAGACGGAGGACCAGGCATCTCCTGTGAGACTGTGTCTTCTAGGACAGTGAAACTGCACCAGTGGAATCTCACCAATGAGGTAGCATTAACAAGAGCTGAACACAATACAAGTTGGCATGCCAGTGTGGGTGGGGGAAATCTCATAAGGCCTCACCCACAGATGAAGAAACTACATGCAATTAATGGCTGCTGAAAGAGAGAGAGTCTATCTTCTCCAGGGATTATGCCCTAATTACTTATCCAGTGCTAAGTGGTCATCCCTAAAGGCATATACATATACCTAACACCGAATGGGTCCAGTGGATTGTATCTATATACTCTTGTCTGTTATTCCATGGCTTTTTGTTGTGGGAATTGAGACCATTAATACCAAGAGCTAATAATGAGCAATATTTATTGATTCCTAGTTCTTTTGTTTAAGTGGTTCAGTAGAAATGTACAGTCTACTTAAGAGTTCAGTAAGATCATGGTTTTGGAGATGTGTGTTGGCACACATTCCACAAAGGGACTCCTATAGCCCAGGTTGATCTAAAACTCACTATGTCACCAAGGATTACCTTGAATTTCTGATCCTCTGGCACAGTGTTACGACCATGCCGAACTTACACACTTCTGGGGATGGAACCCAGGGCTTTGTGCATGCTAAGAAAGATTTCCAGCAACTGAGTTACAACCTCAGTCCCACTTTTTTTCTAAATACAACACTATACATCCCCTAACTTATTTATTCTGATTTAATTTTTTAATCTTTTGTTATAACCTCAGCAGTATGATAAGGCCTAGCACACCATGAAGTTTCAATATCTATATGCTAAGCATTTTGTATTTTAGAGGGAAAATTCAGTTGTCAAGATGCTCATGGCCATTAAACAATATGCATATGGCATGATAATTATACATATGTGTATATGTGTATATAAATCAGTATAGCTATCATATATGTTATAGTCTGCATATAGTGTGCATATATAAATAGGAGTGTTGATTTTAATTTAGAAAATAGTCTTTTAGGCCTTCAAAAGTCCTCCACTGTACATATACCTTTTATTTGTAGCACTCAAATACAGTGCGGTACAGAAATGCACAAAGAGAAGACAGTGAAATAAAGATGATCCAGGAGAAGAAGGAGCAAGCAGAGATGAAAAGGTACCATGTGGCTGTGTCCCAAGGCTCTCATTTGGGAGTGGATTTTTCTCTGGGCCTACTTCTCATCCCATAAATGTTCCCTTGAAGGAAAGTGCAAGAAGAGGAACTTCGAGAGAACCACCCATACTTCGACAAGCCACTCTTCATTGTGGGGCGGGAGCACAGATTCAGAAACTTCTGCCGTGTGGTGGTCCGAGCACGCTTCAATGCGTAAGTACGGGCCACTTACCACACTTGGACCTGGTATTTGGCCTGAGTCCTGGGAACAGCAGGGAGTTTGTCACAGGAAGAAAAAAAGGACTGTGTAGGCCTAATGGGGTCACAAAATAAACTGTGGGCTAATTAATCATCTTGCTCCTCTTTGCTGAGCGCCTGACCAGGTGGAAAAGAAAGGTTTCAAGCAGGTAGCATTTGTAGGAGGCTCCCATTGATAAGGCGTTTAACAGCCCTGTGTATTAGCACACTTTTGACAGTCGTGTATGTCAGTGTTATTAAGTCTCAATTTTCTCTTGAAAGGATTAAACAGAAGGAAAACCAATGACATGATGAAGGATATTGTCCAAGGCCTCTGTCAGACTTATGCTTTCTGATGAAAACCTTTATTCTAGAACTAAGTGGAAAGAGAATGTTTTCTAGTGTTTGTATTACCAGCTGTTATGAGGAGACCCACTAGCCACTGTCTCAACCTCACCAGTGTGGAAGAAATGAGTAAGAACTTCTGGTTGTGTAGCTCTGGGGAGACCTAAGCCAGCTATCATACCCAACCAGTCAATGAAAGGAATTTTGTCTAGTGTTACTTTAAGTACATATCACAGATATTAAGTCCTGACACAGGACTGGGAAGATAGCTCAGTGGATCAAGTACTTGTAGTCTGAGCCTGAAAACCTACATTTGATACCCAGCATCATGTAAAGCTAAGCATGAAGGCACCAGCCCTTGTAACACCAGCACTAGAGGTGGAGATTGGCTACCTAGCTCCCTGGGGCTCACTGGCTAGCAGTCTTGTTCAGTGAGCCTCAGGTCCCAGTTAAAGGTTCTATATCAAACTACAAAGTAGATGGCACCTGAAGTTGATCTGTGGCTTTCACCCGCATAAACACAAGTACATGCCCTGCAACACACACACACACACACACACACACACACACACACACACACACACACACCTACATACATGAGAGTCCTGGGGGAAGTGTAAAACTTTCTAGTCTTTCCCTGTGCCCTCATTCAAGTACTAGGATAGTCTTTGTTAATAATTTATATCACATAATATATTACTTGTTGAGTGCACAACTGTTTCTACCAAAAAAAATCTATATGTTGACGTCTTAACCTCCAGTGTCTCATAATGTGGCAATGTTTGGGGATAGGAATTTTAAAGACATAGCTAAATTAAAACAAGGTCCTCAAGATGGTACTAATCCAGCATCTCACTTCCTTCTAAGAAGAGGGAGTTTGGACACAAACCTGCAAAGAGAAAGCCCACATGAAGATATGTAACCTGAAATACACTATGCATTGCAAGGAGGGAGGCCTGGAGTGGATCCGTATCCCACAGGACTCAGAAGGACATAACACTACTGACATCTTTAATTTGGACCTCCAGTACTTCATAACCACATCACAAAACAATCCCCCTTGCTTACACCACCTCTGTGTATAATTAAAGCATTTCTATGAAACCAGCATGAACTGTCCCAGCACCACAGGAGACTGTGCATCACTGTATATGCTCTCCTGCAATGATTAATATTGATGGTCAGCTGAGATTCAGAGTCATATGGAAACAAACCTTGGGCATGTCTATGAGATGCATTCTAGTTTGGTAAATTAATGTAGAGAGATCCACTCTAACTGTGAGTTGGCATCATTCTGTGGTCTGAAGTCCCCATCAGAATTAAAAGGGGAAAGTAAACAGAGCATTTGCATTCATCATTCTCTGCTTCTTGCAGGTACAATGTGACCAGCTACCCCAAGCTCTTGCTACCATGACCTTCCCTCTGTGATAGACTATACCTTTAAACTGTGAGCCAGAAAGAATCCTTCATGTCTTAAGTTGCTTTGGTCAGTCATTTTTTTCACAGCAATAAGGAAGTAACTAATAGACCTCCCCACCAACCAAGGAAGACACATAGGTCTGAGGAGGTTAAAGGTTTTACTCAAGGATACCAGCTAATGTGTGACTCCCTCATGATCACCATTCAATTGTCCCTCTGCTGTTCTAGGAAGATCTTCACTATTTAAAGTAGGGAATAATAATTTCAAAGCTTCCCTGAGATTTGGCCAAGTGAAGAAAGACGGTGAAGTTAATCAATGCTCAAGTGAGGTTTTCATCTTGAATTACCCTGTTGGCTGCCTACATGTTAACATCTAATTACTAATTCTCCACTTCATTTAGTATGGTGTAATTCTCCTTTTGTCAACAACAAAACTGAATGGCCTGATGAAGATTTTGTTGTAATTAGAAACACACATAAAAAGATTACTGGGACCTCACTGACAACTGCTCACAGGCTCCCTAAAACTAAGCCTTAGGAATCTACCTCCAGTGAAATGCCATATTAATTCTTCCACAGGACAACATTGAAGAGGGGAGTGAAGAACTCTCTTTAATTGATGAAGTGTCTAGCTAAATAATTATTAAAAAATCCTCAAACTAGTAACACAAGCATCTCAAGTTAGTGTTTTTAAACAAAAGCCAAGGTTTAACTGTAATCAGACATTTCCTGTCCCGACTGCCAGGTCCCAAATAACTGACTCAGAAGCTGAATATGAATTATAAATGATCAGCCAAAAGCTCAGGCTTATTACTAACTATCTCTTACAACTTAACCCATTTCTGTTAATCCAGGTGCTGCCCCAAGACTCATGGCTTTTACCTCTATCCCATTTTGTATGTCCAACTCATTCTCCATCTCACTGGCAACTCCTCTGACTCTGCCCTTCTTCATCCCATAATTCTCAGTTTGGCTTTCCCACCTAACTTCATCCTGTTCAGCTTTTGGCCAGTCATAGTAACAAGTCTTCACAGTGTACAAAAGGGTTTTCCACAGAATTTCCCCCTTTTTGTCTAATTAAAAAGGAAGGTTTTAACTTTAACATAGTAAGATTATATATAACAAAATCAGTTATCAAGTAAGAATCACAGTTACAATATCTATTTGTATTTGGCAAAATCAGAGAAAATATTTCATTATCTATCCTATCTTTGTGAGTCCAAAGTTTTATATCTAATTTACTTTTTATTATAACTAAGAAAAACTATAATTTTAACTATTTAGTCTTCAACTCCATTAAAGACCCCAAAAGGATAAAATATTACCTAATGATAGGGACATCAGACTGTCTTAGGTATTCACCCAAAGTTCTGCTGCAATGTTGGGGCATCCATCTTTGGCCTACAGGTCTAGAATATCTGACAGATTTTTCTGTGAAGCAGGGAATTTTGAAGGACTGTCCTACCTTCTCTTGGAAAAGTTCAGCAGTCATCTATTTTTTTATCCTGCTCATCCAGTTTGGATAGAGTACTGTCAGCAGCTGAAGCAAGGACATTTTCTTGCCCTAATGGCTGGCTTATGCCAGAAAGAAAGTAAACTCCATATGGAGTCTCTTCAATGCCCATCAACTTCTGTGAAGTAGATTGGTGGTGCTAGGAGCAGACATGTCTCACTGTCATGAAAAATATTAGGTTATTAAACAAGTTAAATGTCATATTCTATAGGTCTTTGAAGTAATTAAAGACCATCTATTTAAATATATCTGTATGACCTTGAAAACATACCTAACATGACTATAAGTTTGACAATTATAGACGACTATTAATCTGTATTTAATTGTACATTACATTTTTAAATGATATGCATAAACATAGTGCCTTAAACAAGAGTAGAAATATACATACAGTATAACAAATTTAACTTTAAATTTGTATCAATATACCAAAATCCATACCTGTAAAATATTTAAGACTAGTAGTTGCTTTTTTGGCTTAAAAGTAGATTCAATAATCTCCCCCCGCCACATTTGGTGCCAGATGAAGCATTAATCTAATTAACTTTATCAATAAAAAATTGGGAGTCAAATATTGGGGTAAGAACCTGAAAGATCAGAGAACAGGGAGCAGCTAACAGTTGCTTCCTACTTCTTCCATCCCTCCATCCAAAAGGCCTGAGATCCTCTCAGCCCCGCCTTACCACTTCCTGCCTCCTCTCTCTACAGTCCTCCAAACCTCTGTGGTCAGCTAGTGTCTCGCTTTGTCCTCTGACTCCAAAAAAGTTTTATTTGTCAGAACACAATCAAAACATCACACATTTTCCCCTATTTGTCTAAACAAAATCAAAAGTTTTAGCTAACATAGTAAAACTATATACAATAAGTGCAATAACTAATACAAACACAATCAGGCAAGAATTTCATTAACATTGTCCAGTCCATTTGCATTTAACAAACTCAGAGTAACTTTGTGATAAGTCATGCCAGAAATCTTTGAATGGAGTCTCAAATCTAAAACCAGGAATTTGAGAATTCTTTTTTATTTTTCTTTTATCCAGTGTTCTCTGTCTTCCACAGAGATGAACAGTCAGTATATTTCATAATAGTCATTTTATAGAAGTTATAAAAAGAAGTTCAGATGGAGAGAAGCTTATGATTGCTAACATGCTTGTTGTGTTGAGGAATTTTATGTGCTGTTCTCTCTTACAGATCGAAAACAGACCCTGTCACAGGAGCTGTGAAAAACACAAAGTACCACCAACTTTAGTAAGCATGATAAATTCTCTCTTCCCTGTGCATTTGAATTTCACATGTGCTCTTTTCTGCTTCATAAAAATATAAAATTTTAGTTTGGGGAGTTTTCTCAGAGGGTAATGCAAGCATGGGGGCCTGAGTTTAAATCCCAAGCACCCTTATAAAAAACAAGATATGGTCCCGCGTGCTTATAACCGTAGAATTGGAGGGCAGATAAAGGTTCAGTGAGAAACCCAGGTTGTAGTCAGAAGATTTCCTGTGTCCCAGCCTGCTAGCGGCCAGGACAAATCTCTCCCACTCACGTTTCCACCACCAGTAAACACACAAAGGCTTATATCAATTATAACTGCATGGCCATTAGCTCAGGCTTACTACTGACTAGTTCTTACACTTAAACTCAGCCCATTTCTGTTAATCTATATGTCACCACATGTTCCATGGCTTTACCTGTGTGCCATTACATGCTGCTCCCTGGACAGCAGGCTGGCATCTCCTGACTCAGCCTTCCTCTTCCCAGAATTCTCCTTGTCTGCTTATCCCACCTATATTTTCTGCCTGGCTACTGGCCAATCAGCATTTTATTAAGCAAGCAAACAAAAGCATTATTACACAGAACCAGGTTAAAGATAAGATGGAAAAGAACCCACTATCTACCTCAGACCTTTACATATGCAGGCATGTGTACACATACTTCACACACACATGAACACATAAGCATGTAACATAAAGACACATCACACACAAACAATATATAGATGAAATACACCATTGAAAACTTTTAGAAACACCAGTCAATAATAGAGTCACCAAACCCATGGTCTCTGCCTTGCAGACATGGATGAAACATTTCTATTTCTCAATTATGTTTGTTCTTTGGCAGTGATTTGCTGGGACTGGTCACTTACCTGGACTGGGTCATGATCACCGTAACCATCTGTTCTTGCATTTCCATGATGTTTGAATCCCCTTTCCGGAGAGTCATGCATGCACCCACTTTACAGGTATTGTGGAGAAATTTTAGCTTCCAGCTCAGTAGAAAAATACTACCCTGTTTTTGCTGTTTTGTCACAAACAAAGTGTCATTTGCCCATTTCAGATTGCTGAGTATGTGTTTGTGATATTCATGAGCATTGAGCTTAATCTGAAGATTATGGCAGATGGCTTGTTTTTCACTCCAACTGCTGTCATCAGGGACTTTGGTGGTGTCATGGATATATTTATCTATCTCGTAAGTTTTTATTCTTTCCTAAATATAAAACTGGTGGCATCATGGACATATTTATCTATCTTGTAAGTTTTTATTCTTTCCTAAATATATAAATATAGTTTTCTGCATCCCCTGGTAAAAGAGTGGGATGTCTGAGGTCTAGTTGTCATAACTTCATTATTTAATAAATTACAATGACCTATTATATGTAAATAAAGGATATGAATATAAAATCTAAACAAATAATCTATATAAGAGATATTATAATATCTACAGATACAGTTAAATATAATGATCGTAGTTTTATGTGTGGATGCTACATTAGTAAAAATCTAAAGCATCGAACCAGTTTGCATCCCATAATTCTTACAGCTCTTATAATACAAAAATATTTGTGTCAAATAAAAAGTAATTATTGAACCTCTTGTTATCAAATTCTGGCTATCATTAGTAGCCATTCAAGTGTTCTGTTCAATTTAATTGGGGAATTATAGAAATGGACTTGGAAAATTCATAAATTCAATGCAAAAAAGGAGAATTCCTTTGAGTGGCAGGTTACATATTGACAATCACCAATAAAGTAGCCATGTCCTTGATGAAAGGAATCCCATCGTGGAATATGAGTGGGACAAAGATCAAAGAGCAGTAAGATAAAACACAAGGTGGAATGTGGGGAGGATACACAGACACAGAGTGGGTACCCACTACCCCATACATTAGAAACCTTTCTCTGGAGCCCTCTGCAGGCATAGGATAAACCCACTGTTTAATGCTGGCAGATGGTGTGTGCACCTATGAGTGTCTGTCCCACATATAACTCATGGAGTCTCTGCTCCATGAATGGAAGGAAATGTGCACAGCAGAAGAGACAGCATAAATTCCAGAGATTATTTTTCCATCTAGGTGAGTCTGATATTTCTTTGTTGGATGCCTCAAAATGTGCCTGCTGAATCAGGAGCCCAACTTCTGATGGTTCTTCGGTGCTTAAGACCTCTGCGAATATTCAAATTGGTGCCCCAAATGAGAAAAGTTGTTCGAGAACTTTTCAGTGGCTTCAAGGAAATTTTTTTGGTATGTGAAACTCCCATCTGCTCCTCTGATTCTTATTCACTACAATCTAGTCCTGTCATATCATTGGGGATAAAGGGAGACTTGGAAAGCAAGAGCAAGTCTACACAGTTTTGTTCATTGCCAGAGGATTAGAAAGGAGACAAGGAAACTTAGAAACTTCACCCACTAATGCTCTGACTTATTTTATTCTAAGAACACCTGTAGACACAATGTATGGCAAACCAGAGAGCTAGGATCCACTATTTCATTCCACATTTGACCCCAATTTCTACTCTGGGATTTCCTTTCTCTAAACATTAATGATAACAAAATACAATCCCGTCTACTTCATAAATGTGATTGAGAATTGATGTATTTGGGTTCTGTGTATCCCATTGAGCATGGAAAATAGAATTTGTCCCTTTATCTTATAACTGTTAACAAGATTTTAAAATGCATCATATAGATATACCTTACTTTCAGCATCCTCAATAAACAGCATATAACACGTAAAAATATGATTCAAGGGGAAACGTGATCTTCAGGTGGGCATGCATCATATTAGTGTCTTCTAAGAACAGAGCTGGAGATAAAACAAGAAGTAAAAGGTTCATTGCTTACAGTCTGTTTCAGAACAATCTTCATCTTCCAGAAGAATATCACAAAATTCTTTTAGTATGGATGAGTCCTGCTTGTGTGTAAGGAAAGGGGAATGATGGACAGATGCTTGTTTTCTAGAAACAGTAGTGTTAGCTCAGCTGCAGTTTTAGTTGATAAGAAAAAATTTGACAAGTATGTTGTGATGTTACCAGAGGTTCATAGTTGCTCATATTTTTAAAGGTGTGTTTGTTTAAAAGACCAAGTTTCTTTTGTACAAAGCTATAACGCATGGATTTGTGAGAAGGAAAAGACACTGTCACCACACCAGACAGTTCACATACATGAGTCTTTGGACCACTAATAGGGTTTTGAAGGGAATCTCACTGTGTCTTTCTCCTGAGGAGGCCTTTGTACAACTTTAGATTGCTTAAGACATCTGTTTAGATTATCCATCCAGTACAGTTCTGAGGTTGCCACAGAATTACCGTTTTACCTCTTTTTTTTCTGCTGAGACAAAAGCAGCAGCCAGCAGAGGGAGCCCAAGATAGGAAATAGATAGAGTCATGGTACACAGTGTGCTCCCCATCACAAGTGCCCTTGCTTACAGGAAAAGAAAAGCCACTATCCTTCTAATTTATGCTCAGATAGTAAAGAAGTGACTCTATTTGGGGAAAATGGATAACAACAGAATTATTTTAACATTTTCTCTTGTTTTTTTAAATAAAAAGTATTGATTTTAAAAATCATATAAAATGCCTTGTTTCATTCTCTAGCATGGAAGCCATATGATTTTATTTTAAAAATTTAAAACCTGTTGTTAATTTTTTTTCCTTTTCTCATTTCAAGAAGACGAATGAAGACCCATGGTGGAGAAATCAGAAGATATCACCAAAAAGCAAACAAACATGAATTATACACAATATGTTCTAAAAAAGTCCTTTTTTAAAAAAAAAATCACTATTTAAACCTAATACTTAACTTTCACCAAGAGATTTATTTTTTCATTAATTTCTTTCAGGTCTCCATTCTGTTGTTGACACTGATGCTTGTTTTTGCAAGCTTTGGGGTTCAACTCTTTGCTGGAAAGCTAGCCAAGTGCAATGATCCCAACATTATCAGAAGGGTAAGACCTTCTCAACTGTCTTGAAATTATAACCAAGGTAGTTTTGCCATTCCTTGTAATATGTGTGTACCAGTAGTCACCAGGCCTCACAAACTCTAAGAATTCTATTCCCACAAGTTCCTTTTTGCTGTAAGCATGTAGTATGTCTCTTCCCGGTAGATCTGTGAGATTCTAAACACATCTCAGAAACTCCTCCTCCTTTCCGTCCCAGAACTAACCACCATTCCACTTCTGTCAATGAGTGTGCCCACCCAGGATTTACAGTTAAGAGCCTCTGAAACTTCTCTTTAACTTGATCCTTCCCTCTGGTCATGTGAAACTCACTAGCAAATGACACTTACCCCACCCAAGATACAGAGAGACAGAGAGAGACAGAGACAGACAGACAGACAGACAGAGAGGCAGAGAAAGAGATAGAGACACAGAGAGAGAGAAAGAGACACACCCACACCCCTTTTATTTCTTTTCCATTCTGAGCATCCTATCCATAAGAAAATCAATGTATACATTTTCACTTGTAACTGCCCAGAGGTATCCCTGTTATGACAGCCTACAAGGTTCCCAACAAAGATCTGATCTTTCATAACCTCACAGCAACATTGTTTTCTCTTTCTTCAGTCAGTGCCAATAAGTGGAAATTATCTGTAATAGCCTCCTATCCTGGTAACATTATATAATGTCATGTATGTATTGTATTTTGGAAAAGCTACACAGCTCTTCAAATACCAAAGGAGTATTTGAGTTCCTTCTGCCTGGTGAATTTACCCTTCACTAAGTCTTGTCTGAGGTGGTAGATGAGAGCAGGATACCAACTCTGTCATAAAGGGCTTTGGGCCCATATCATTACAACCTATATTCTCACAGAAACAGCATAGCCTTACCATGCATGAAAGAAGGCTAGGAAATGTAGTCTGTGTGCTCTAATAGAAATAAAGGTACATAGTTTGGTTAATGTTAGCTCATCTCTGCTCTGCCTTCCCATGTCCATTTTATTGAGATTTTTTTAATATGTAATATTAAATATTAATATATGAATAAAGCAAGTCAAATGTGAATGACGTACAAACTAACAAAATTATTTTCTCTCTCATCCAAGTAAAATGATGTTTTCATTCCATTAATATGTGTGTCTCCCAAAGACCTAGTAAGACTAAGACTAAATTTGGCATTATACATTTTAGCAAATATGACCAATATGGATTCAATATGATAAAAACTCTAGGTTCTGTAGTTATTATCAAGCATAACAGGAATCTTGTCCAGGCAAAATATTATAAAATATACTAATATTAGAGAATTTCAGACATTCCAGAGGGAGAGAGACATTCTATAACTTCCATTAGCCTGAGAAAACACCACAAGGAGTATGGTATTGGTATATGGTATTGGTACAAATGTCATGATGTACTGTATCGGCAAATGAAGGAATTAATAAAGAGCTCATGCATTCATCCACAGGCTTATGTAAGGATCAAGAGTTATTTTAGCCTCACACTGAACAAAATCCAGAAAGATAATAACAACATTTCAAGTTGAAGCCTTGTAGGAATCCTGGGTGACTTGTTGTATTAATGATGGCCTCAGAGCACCATGGTGTTCTATTATGTACTCATAACCAGCTCAAGCCAGGACCTCTGACTTGTGGGGGAATAGAAAGCACTCTGTAGATGAGCAAACATAACGGAGATGCTTTTGTCCTCTTGGTGGAAGCAATGAGGTCTATGGGAAACTCGAAAGGAAAGCTTAATGATACAGCTGTTGTACAGGGCAGCAACATCCAGAAGGAACTGACATCATGAGAAGTGTTCTCTCCTTATATGTTAACTGATTCTAGAGTAAATGACTGTGGTGGTTTGAATAGGAATGTCCCATATAGACTTATGTGTTTGAATGCCTGGTCACAGAGAGTGGCATAGTTAGGAGGTGTGGCCTTGTTGGAGGAAGTGTGGCACTAGAGGGCAGGCTTTGAAGTCTCAGAAGCTCAAGCCATGCCTAGTGTGTCTCACTCTCTTCCTGTTGCCTGATGATACAGAAGTAGAACTCTCAGCTACCTCTTCAGCATTATTTCTGTCTGCATGCCACCATGCTTCCTGTTATGATGACAATGGGCTAGAGTGAGGTATTGTTGTGATAGGCCTGACTATGCTTTTGTTTGGAGGAATGTGGACTTTGGGACTTTGCATTAGAAAAGCAGTTGAATGCTTTAAGTGGGCCTTAATGGGTCATCCTAGTAGGAATATGGAAGACAGTGGTGCTGAGTGATTTGAATTATGGGGGCCTGACTCAAGAGGTTCCAGAGGAGAAGGATGTTAGTCTGTGGCCTAGAGACTATTGTTCTGATATTTTGGTGAAGAATGTAGCTGCTCTCTGCCTTTGTCCAAAAAATATGCCTGAGGCTAAATTGAAGAGTTTGGGATTAATTGCTTTTACAGAGGAGATTTTAAAACAGCCTAATGTGGACTGTGTTATGTGGTTATTAGTGGCCATGTTTATGCAGATCTATAATGAAAAGGAGCAAGCTAAGAAAGGAAAGTTACAAAGTGTACAATGTGAGGAGAAAGTAGCCCCAGGAAGTGGAATGGTGCTAAGTTCAGTGTTCAAGGAGATAAACAGATTAAAGACAATCTCCGATGTTAAATGGAATAAAGGGAGTGGTGACCTCAGGGAAAGATCCCACCCAGATAAGCTTCCAACTTGTAAAAAGGAATTAAAGAAAAGCTTAGAGTCAGATATTGTGGTACATGCCTTTAATCCCAGCACTCAGAAGGCACAGGCAGGTGGTGCTCTGAGTTTGAAGCCAGCCTGGTCTACAGATCAAGTTTCAGGACAACCAAGCTTAGGCAGTAAAGTAAACCATCAAGAACAGAAAGCTGGTGAGTATGTAACTGAATGAAGGAGCCATGTTCCAAACCCAGCAAGCAGTAGAATTTGGGAGCTTTGTCCACATGGTTCTGGCTTTAGAGTCAAGGATAGAAGAAAGGGATTATGATATTTCCCTCTGTGACTAAGGAAAGCTGCTGAGGTCAGGCATGTGTCAAGAGTGTCCCTGTATGGAGGCCTGGAGAGGCCACTGTGTGAAGCTGTGAAGGTGAAACCTGGATTGTCTTGGAGATCCCAAAATGTTAGAGATGCCAGAGTCATGGGATACCTGCTGAGGAGAGCTGCTAACAGGGAGTGGAACCAGCCCGAGAGAGAGAGAGAGAGAGAGAGAGAGAGAGAGAGAGAGAGAGAGAGAGAGAGAGAGGTGTTGCAGTCAACAAAGCTGAAAGGAGTTGGAGATCTGAAGAGCACTTTGGCATCACACATGGAGCTGCAGAGTTTGGAGTTTAGCCAGCTGGTTTTAGGTCTTGCTTTGGTCCAGTATTTCCTCACTATACTCCCTTTCCTCCCTTTTGAAACAGCAATGTATATCCTGTGTTATTGTATGTTGTAAGTATGTCATGTGCTTTTTCATTTTAATTTTACAGGGGATTACAGTTAAGAGATTGCATGAGTCTCAGAAGAGACTTTATTGAACTTTCAAACGACTTTGAGGCTGTTTTAGACTATGGGGACTTTTGAAGTTGGACTGAATGTATTCCTGCATTATGTTATGACTACAAGCCTGCGACAGTCAGGGGATAGAATGTGGTTGTTTGAATAGGAATGGCCCCCATAGGCTCATGTGTTTTAATGCTTGGTCATAGTGAATGGCACTATTAGAAGGCATAACCTTATTGGAGTGGCTATGTTCATGGTGTCTCTTCACAGCAATAGAAACCCTAAGACAGTGACCAAATTCAAGAATACCAAGTGGGCAAAGGGAACATCAATTTATCTTTTTAAAAAATTTGTATTAATTAGCTTTTATTTTGTTATTGAGTTTCTCTCTCTCTCTCTCTCTCTCTCTCTCTCTCTCTCTCTGTGTGTGTGTGTGTGTGTGTATGTGTATGTGTGTGTGTGTGTGTGTGTGTGTGTGTGTGTGAGAGAGAGAGAGAGAGAGAGAGAGAGAGAGAGAGAGAGAGAGAGAGAGAGAGAGAGATATGCTGGCACACATATGCCATGGCTTCATATGGAGATCAGAGGATACTCTACAGGAATCAATTTTATCCTTGCATAGTGAATTCCAGGAGTAGAACTCAGGTCTTCAGGCAAGTGTTTTTATGTATTGGGCCATCTTCTAGCCTAGCCCATCTTTCTAAAATAGCAAAGAGAAGCTGGATGCACAAATATTTGGAGTTTATAGCTCTTTTAAAAGGCACTTAAAGGGAATGAGGCTTGGGTTGTTCAGGCCATGGTTTCTAGTTGTGGAAAACTGTGTTTTTCTCGTAGTTAGGTAAATACTACCTCCTCTGCTCCTGTTCTGGGAACTTGACAGCAAATGTCTTGAGATCAGTGCAGATAGAAGTAGAACCCAGAGTTTAGTCACCAAAGCTCAGTAAACAAAATCTGAGGAAAGCTTTGGACAAATGGTTTCTGAATATTGGTCATATCTAAGATCTTATTACAGGTCAAATGACATAGGATTGGAGAGCTGAGTCAATCACTGGTTTTGTAGCACTTTCTATTTGATCAGAACACGTGTTTCATGTTCAAGAGACTGTAATATAAAGCCAGCAGTCATACAACATGTGAGTAGTGGAAGTCATGTGCCATCCTATTTAAGTGGGGAAAGCTCTGCTTCCAATTGAAAGCAACCACACCAGCAAGGCATGGGAAGTGGGGAGGATCTAAGCCAAAAGGGAAAGACCTTCCCAGGCAGACCATGTAGAATGAAGAAAGATGCCAAGCCTACCTAGAGGTCACTGAATAGAGCCAGGTCAAAACAGGAGCATGAGGCTTGAGATCAGGGCCCCCATATGCAATGGCTTTGTCTAGTCAGTTCTTCCTTCCCAATCTGTTTCCTCCTCTAGAGCACTTCTACACAGAGATATCTATTAAGAAGAACAGAGAGGGAAAACAAGGAAAGAGACACCATGATAAATGAAGACCCCATGGGAATAGGAAGAAGCAAAGTGCTA